TATAAAAATTGGCGAAACCAAGGAACCTTTGCAATTGTTTGCGGTTCTCGGGAATAAACCATTCAGAGACTGCCTTTACTTTCTCAGGGTCAGATCGAACCAGTCTTTCTTCAAAAATGAAGCCAAGGAAGGACACAGAGGGCACACGAAAGTCACATTTTTCAGCCTTGACAAACAACTTATTTTCCATTAGTCTCTGGAGTACTGATCTAACATGCTTGGTGTGTTCAAGGGTGTTCTTAAAATAGATCAGGATGTCATTTAAGTAGATAAATACAAAAACATTAAGGAAATCCCTCAGAACATCATTCACCAGTGCCTGGAAAACAGCAGGTGCGTTGGTTAAGCCAAATGGCATAACCAAATACTCAAAGTGGCCCAAGGGTGTCTTAAAGGCTGTCTTCGACTCGTCCCCATACCTCATGCGCACCAGATGGTAGGCGTTACGCAGGTCCAGCTTAGTGAATATGGTGGCAGACTGTAATTGTTCAAAAACAGAATCAATTAAGGGCAGAGGATATTTATTCTTTGTCGTAATCTGGTTCAGGCCTCTGTAAATAAATATGACTTGACTTGACTAGTCTATACAGGGTCTAAGGGTCTTGTCCTTCTTATCTACTAAAAAAAATCCCTGCTCCTAGTGGAGAGGTGGACTGCCTGATAAATGGTAAATGGACTGTATAGCGCCTTTAAGCACTTTACACTACAATGATGATACCTGATGGTACCTGAAGCTAAGGATTCCTCAATGTACTTCCTTATGGTCTCTTTTTCTGGGCCAGACAGGTTATACAATCTACTGGATGGTAGGGAGGCACCAGGAAGGAGATCGATTGAGCAATCATAAGGTTGGTGTGGGAGTAAAGAGAGGGCCTTCTGTTTACTGAAGACTGGGGTGAGATCATGATAACAGGTAGGGATCTTAGATAAATCTAACAAAAGGAGTGACTGCTGAGCAGAGACAATTTTCTAAGCAGTAATTGCTCCATGAATCGACTCTCTTCTCCCTCCAATTAATAGTAGGATTGTGTTTTCTTAACCAAGGGTATCCTAATATAACATAAGAGGTGGGAGAAGAAAATACAAAAAACTCACCCTCTTCACGGTGATTGCCAGAGACAATGAAATGCAAAGGTGCAGTCAAATGATGGTGGTCATGGTATTCCCTGCGAGATCAGAAACAGTCACTGGGTGATTTAAGGCAACAGGAGGAATGTTCAGGTGTTCTACCAACTCAGAACTAATGAGATTCTGCTCAGCACCAGAATCAATTAAAGAAGCAACAGGAATGTCTCTGATTAATAAGGTAGTGGGTAAAACAAGCCTATTTCCAGGAGAAAATATTGAATTGCCCACCAGTATCTCCTGGTTTACTGGTGTGCTTCTCCTTTTCCCCTCGCTGAACAGTTTGCAATAAAGTGGCTGGGCTTACCGCAGTAAATGCAGACCCTAGCTGTAATCCGGTGTTGCTTCTCCTCCGGTGTGAGCTGTGTGCGTCCAATTTGCATAGACTCTCCCTCAGAGCTTGTCAAAGCTGGTAAAGGGGGATTGGACGGAGGGAGGCTGATTCCCGGAAATGGGTGTGGCTCAGTTGCCGGAGCATAATGGGATCTGTAGTTTCTATGTTGCTGACATGTCCGCAGTCGACCATCAGTCCGAAACGCCAAGTTGATAAGATCATCTAGGGAATCCGTTTCATCACGAGTAGCCAGTTGATCCTTTATGTCATCTGACAGAGAACTTACAAACACTCCTTTTAATGCTACTTGGTCCCAGCGGGCGTCTTCCGCTGCGACATGGAAGTTAATAGAGTGGTCCGCTACGGACTGTTTACCTTGTCGAAGGGCTATTCGCCTCTTGGAAGCCGCCTCTTGGTGACAAGGATGCTCAAAAACCCGCGGGAACTCCTGAAGAAAGGTATCAAAAGTTATGTTGTCAATTTCATGAGAACTGAGATAAGCCTTAGCCCATTGCAGAGCTGTGCCTTTAAGTGAGCTAATCAAGAATGTTATGCGGGACGCGTCTGAGGCATAAGTGATAGGGGCGCGGCGGATGGCCAGTCTGCATTGAGAATAAAGCTGCCACAATCACTAGTCTTTCCATCAAATCCTCCTCTCTCCTCGCAGAAAAATACGAAGCAACTTTCTGCTCATAAATTGAAGCACACGTGAACCCCATCTGTGGGCGTCACAAGCACCATAGACATACATTATACATAGATTAGGTACGGCAGCTCTATACAGCTCTGGGTTAAACACGTAGTCTGTTTGTCATATGTCTGGTGATTTACTTGCCTGCGTGCTGAAACCATGTGACACGTTACAGCCAATACCGAAACTTGATACCGAAAAAAGAATGACATTTCAATCCATACACCGACCGGTGCAGTTCGGTGGGTGCTATAAAATAACCTTGGTTCGGTACTCAGCCCTAACAGCTGATGAGAAAAACAGTAAGAACATCCACCCTTCCATTATCTTTTACCCGCTTCTTCCATTTTGGGTCACGGGGGTTGCCGGTGCCCATGTCCAGCAATCACTGTGTGAGGGGCGGGGTACACCCTGGACAGGTCTCCAGTCCATCACAGGGACACATACAAACAAGACAAACAATCATTCACTCTCTCACTCACACAAAGGGACAATTTAGAGTTACCAATCAGCCTAACATGCATGTTTTTGGTCTGTGGGAGGAAACTGGAATACCCGGAGAAAACCCACGCATGCACGGAGAGAACATTCCCAGAAAGTCCTCCGGACTGGGATTTGAACCAGGGACCTGCTCGCCGAGAGGCAGCAACTCTACCAGTTGTGCCAATGTGCTGCCCACAGTAAGAACAGCGGATGAAAAACAGTAAGAACAACTTATGAAAAACTGAACAGCTGATGAAAAACGGTGTGAAAAGCTGATGAAAACCAATAAGAACAGATAAAAAACAGAAATTACAACATTTAACTAAAAGCTTGTCTGAATAAAAATGTCTTAAGCTTATTTTTAAAGGAATCAACAGACGGCCACACGAAGAGACGGACAGGGTGTTCCACAGCCTGGGGTCTACGGCCTGAAAGTATAGGTCACCCCGAATTTTAAACCGGGTTTTAAACCCTATTCGCACGGGATTAGTTTTACCTAAAGACCACGAGTAACAAATAAATTACTCCCAACGTCTGCTTTTTATGTGGCGCTTTCGCACGGGATAACCAAAGCCTGAGACTTAGCTGAAATTTACAGACATCTTTCAGTTATGATGTTAACGCGCTGTGTAAGGATAATTTATTATTATCCTTGTAATAGCTCTTTAAATAAATGTGCCTGCCACACAAGAGAAGTAGATATTTTCTTAATCCCAGGTTTTAATCTTGCAAGATGTAGCAGTGTTGAAATACAAGCATCAAAATGTTACATGACGCTCCGTCCCAACTCTGCTCACTAAGAGCCTAAAAGAGCGTCTTATGTTATCAGACAAAGGCAAGGTCAGATGGCTGCTGCAGCCTCTTGCAGCAAGCTGATCCAGACAAAACAACTCTTTAACACACACACAGTAGTATGAGTTATAACATTTGACTTCAGTAAGTGAAAAACATCTGTGACCTGTCACATCTCCATCACGCTGCGTTGTCACGACCGGGCCGGTCCATATAATGTGCGGGCCAGGACGGTCTCAGGCTTTCATGTGGTTTTATGAATCAGCACAAAGAAAACTAAAGAATGCACAACATAAAATTGTGTTAATCTACTTGTTGAGGAGGAGGCAGGTCCGACTGGCTGGTTTAAGACGTAAAAAAAAGCCACTTTAAGCTCAGATGGGCAGCTGTCACCGGCCGTGTGCGTGAGCGTCCGCTGACCCGCCGGTTGAAATGGACTTGCGACCTGTCCACGATGTCCCCCGCCTCTCGCACAGTGATGACTGGACATGGGCACCATGACTCTCGCTACCCGAAAAGGAAGAAGCGGGTGGGTGGGTGGATAGATGGATAGATCAGCTGATCACGTGCGCGTCTCAGCACCTGCTGACATCTGCGAAGGAAGTAGCAGCATAAAAGCCGCCCCCTGCCCAGGGACCATATATTAAATAGATTTTTGGAACAGGGAGATGGAACAGGGACTTGCTCCGTCCACTCCACGCATCGACCTGGTGTTGCAGTATCTCCAGGACCGATGCACGATAAAAAAAAATCAGAAGTGAGCAGCGCATTCATTTAAAATAGCCTTGTTCTATATTTTTCCAAATGATTTTGCTTGAACAAAACATGTCATTATGTATCGGATCCTGCACATTTTTGTCCAAATCACAGAGATGCCTATTCGCATTGGATTAGTATTATCACAGGACCTCGGAGTTCAGCTAAATATAGTAGGTAAATTGCGGGGGAATTTTTATTTTACAAATTACTGACATGGCCGATTCGCACGAGATTAACAACACAGACAATCTCTGTAATTATTACAAATAGCATGTTGTCACTAGGTAAAACTAATCCCGTGACAATAGGGCTTTAGAGACCATTAGGATGTTCATCGCTGAAGACCAAAGGACAGATTTATTTATTTATTTAGTAAAAAGGGAATTACACTAATCTAAACAATAAGAAATAAAAATATGAATATTCATCTCCAGGTCAGATATGGAGACATTGCCGTCAATTTAGAAATATTTCTCAGATGATTAAAGCAACATTTTACCAAAAGTCTTGACTGTTTGTCCAAAGACACTGACTGGTCAAACAGAACACCAAAGTTTCTGAGATTGCTTGGTCCAAGGAGCTTTGTGTTCAGGAGCAATGATCAGGGTTTCAGTCTTGTTAGAATTTAACTGAAGGCAATTGTTAGGTAGCCAGGCTTTAATATGTAATAATAATAATAATAATGTGTGTATATGAGATAATGTAATCTTGATTAATCAATCCCAAACCAAACTCTTTCCTATATGAGAGCAGTTTGAGTAGCTGTCTCTTTGTGTTTGGATTAAAAGTAAACCATGTTTTTCCCTCATGTTTCAGCATCACGATGGGGCAGCTGTACGACAAAGAGAAGGATGAGGATGGATTTTTATACATGGCTTACAGCGGAGAGAACACATTCGGTGTTTAAAAACCAATCCCACTGCCCCTGCAGATGGTGAGGGGAAACCCCCAGAGGAAGATCCAGATTCAGCGTGTTCACATTTGGACCAGTTTCATGTTGTAATTCGAGTGTTAGAAGAAACTTTTCTCATTTTGTTTTGGTTTTTAAGTGATATTTAGTTTAGCTTTTCTTTGGCAGATATTTAAATAAGTTTTAAAGAATTTTAATTTAATTTTAAGGTAAGGTAGCTGGATGACCTAACCAATAAAAAGTATAAGAAACAAAATATGTGTTTATTTAATTACAAACAAAAACAACGCCGTCAATGAAAACAGATTTATTTTCATGAAAAAAAACTTTTTCGACATTTGTTTCAGATTGACTCAAAAGTCTGGCCTCCAGTTGTCAAAAAATAAGATTAGAAACTGATTCAATTCAGTTTATTTCTATAGCTTCAAGTCACAACAGAACTCGTCTCAGGGCACTGAACAGAAACATTCACATACAAGATATAAAACATAAAAGACAGTAAAGTTCTCTATCTAAGGAAGCGGCAGACACGATGAATCTTCACATTGTCTCAGTCTCCCGTCCTGAGCAAGCACAAAGAATGGTAAATGGACTGTACTTGCAGGTGCTTCTCATAAAATTAGAATATCATGAAAAAGTTGATTTATTTCATAATTCCATTCAAAAGTGAAACATATATTCATTCATTACACACAGACTGATATATTTCAAATGTTTATTTATTTTAATGTCTATGATTATAACTGACAACTAACGAAACCCCCAAATTCAGTATCTCAGAAAATTAGACTATTACTTAAAACCAATAAAAAATGATTTTTAGAAATGTTGGTCAACTTTAAAGTATGAACATGTTCAGCATCAATACTTAGTTGTTGCTCCTTGTGTCTGGATCACTGCAGCAGTGCGTCGTGGCATGGAGTCGATCAGTCTGTGTCACTGCTCAGGTTCTGAGAGCCCAGGTTGTTCTGATAGTGGCCTTCAGCTCTTCTGAATCGTTGGGTCTGGTGCATCACATCTTCCTCTTCACAATACCACAGAGGTTTTCTATGGAGTTGAGGTCAGGCGAGTTTGCTGGCCAATTAAGAACAGGGATACCATGATCCTTAAATCGGGTACTGGTAGCTTTGGCACTGTCTGAAGGTGCCAAGTCCTGTTGGAAAATGAAATTTGCATCTCCATAAAGTTGGTCAGCAGCAGGAAGTGCTCCAAAATTTCCTGGTAGATGGCTGGACCTCAGAAAACACAGTGGACCAGCAGATGACATGGCCCCAAACCATCACTGACTGTAGAAACTTGACACTGGACCTCAAGCAACGTGGATTCTGTGCCTCTCCTCTCTTCCTCCAGACTCTGGGACCTTGATTTCCAAAGGAAATGCTAAATGTACTTTCATCAGAGAACATAACTTTGGACCTCACAGCAGCAGTCCCAGGCAAGATGCTTCTAACGCTGTCTCTTGTTCAAGAGTGGCTTGACAACAACACCACCAGCCTGATCAAGCAAGCTCATCAGAGACTCTACTTCCTCAGGCGGCTGAGATGAGCTGGTCTGGGAAGCTCAGTCCTCACCTCCTTCTACAGGTGTGCA